GTCTCCGCATCAGCCTCAAGGGTAGCCTCACATAGAGGGCACTGCAGTAGTCTATTCTTGAGATTATGAGGGTATGAATCAGCGTCGTGAGTGCCCCCATGTCTAGATAGGAACAAAGCTGGGCAATCCTCTGAAGATGGAAATGGGCTGCCGGACCACAGATGCCACCTGGGTTTCTGGGTTTCCATGGTGAGATCCGGGTCCAGGCAGATGCCCAAGCTGCGAACCACACTCTTTGTGGGAAGAGTCACTCCCCCAAAGGAGAGGGAGTTTCCCAATCCACTGATGCCAGGGTTGCCCCGTGCAAGATTTCTGTCTTTTCCAGATTCAGCCTCAGTCAGTTTGCCCTCATCCACTCCAGAACAGTCCCCAAGCATCATTCAAGGGTCGGAACAGCATCCACTGCAGTTGGAAAAAAGGAGAGGTAGAGCTGGGTGTCACCAGCGTACTGATGGCTCAGGGCCCCACAACTCCAGATGACCTCACCCAGTGGCCTCATATAGATATTAAATAGCATTGGCGAGATGATCAACCCCTGCGGAACCCCACAATTGAGGATCCATGGGGTGGAAGTCATCTCGCCAAACTGCACTCTCCGGGGATGGTCATCTAAGAAGGAACAGAGCCACGTGAAAGCAAGGCCACCGATCCCCAACTTGGAGAGCTGTTCCAGGATACCATGGTTGATGGTATCAAAGGCCACTGAGATATCAAGGAGGACCAACAAGGACATATTGTCCCTGTCTGCCTCCCTCAGGAGGTCATCCTGCAGGGTGACCAATACTGTTTCCATACCATGTTGCAGCCTGAAGCACAACTAGAACGGATCAAGGGCATCAGCTTCCTCCAGGAGGGCCTGGAGCTGATCGGCCACCACCCTCTTGATCACTTTACTCAAGAAAGAAACATTGGTGACGGGCCTTTAATTTCCAATTTCATCCAAATTAGGTTTCTTGAAGAGTGATGGACTAGAACTCAGGAGGCCTGAGTTCAAATCTCTGCTCAGCCATGGAAACTCACTGGGGGTACAGGACTGTTAAAGGCACTCCTTAAATATCTCACCTTTAAAGTCCTCTTAGAGTGGCTATAACAATATTCTTCCCCTATGTGTAAGACATGGCACAGCTTTGCTATAGTTTGTGAGAAGATAAAATATTTTGCCTCTATCACTTTAAAGCTTGAAATATGTCAAGCTGTGGGGTTAATCCTGTTTTTTGGATTTGCACTAAGAAATACTTCAGCCTTTTAGGCAGTTCCTATTCTGTTGATTCAGGTGATGTATTTATCTTAATGTACTGTAGTTTACTGTCTTTAATGACAACATAGATGCCATTCTAGTCTTGTGATGGGAAAGAGACCGAAGATACAGAGATCAATATATTCATGCCTCAGTAAACAAACCAACATAGTGTCACAGGAATTTTGAGGCAGACTCAAATGTGAAAATGGATTGAGTAACATCAGTAAAAAAGACACCACTATTTACATTATTATCACTAACTCTTACTACATGTGATGCACCCAGAGCTCATGAAACACCTTAATCCTAAAAATGGCCTTACAGATGTTTACACTTTTAATTACTGTGAACTTGTGCACATCTATTCTTATTACTTCCAACGTACCTCTGTTTCAAATTACCAGATGGAATTCAGTTAATACCTTTTGAGTTGTTCTTCCATTGCACTTCAGCTGTTATAATTTTTGGAATTTGTGTGGGTGAAAATGGGGATGTGTGATCTGTCAGAGATGTGATGGGTTCTCCTAATGTTTAAAGCAAATGCAAAATTTGCAACAACAAAAAGTCAATGAAAATTGTCTTTTACTGTGTCACAGGAACTTTTTTAGACAACTAAGTCAGAGAATCTAGTATACTTTCAGTTATAAATTACTATTCTATTAGTAACCCAAAAGCATACAAGGTAAAGTCCATTTCCTGAGGGCTTCATTTAGTACAGAAATATACTGAAATGGTGTTAAAGAATTATATTCCCACTTTGCTTTGAACAGGCACATTTTCATTCCTGATGGTGTGCAGGGCCAGTTCAAATCACTCTGCTTCCTGAAATTCAAGGACAAGATAGCACTCACCAAATTCCACGCACAGAGTCAAACAGTCTTACTATCTGAACCCAATCACCTGCTCTTGCAGTTGCTGCTATAATGTTTTTTTCTCTGTTTTCTTGCCTTAAAAAGGGCTTTTAGAGAGACTTTTAGTAGGTGCATTATTTAGAGCAGGGATCTCCAAACTTTCCAGAGTGAGGGCCACAACATACATGTTCCAGATTTTCGAGGGCTGACCACGTGCACGTATACGTGTGCCTGCCCACCCACAATCCCATCCGTGCATCCACCTGCCTGTCTGCCTTTGTACTTACCAGGACAGATAAAAAGGTGATGCAGCCTGGATATAGCCCATGGGCTGTAGTTTGGAGACCTCTGATTTAGAGGATGGCTGAAACTGTTGTGCAGATAGCATAACTTCTGAAAGTGATCTGTTGTAAATTAAGATGGCTCCATAGACATTATCTGTCACATACTGAGTCATGTGGTTCAGCATGTGACAGATAACACTTATGGAGATTTCTTAACCTGTGGTAATTTTGATCTGGATGTTAGACTGTGTAACTGCACAATGAGATTACAGCTGATATATTCTAAGGACACCAGAACTGTTGATACTGTGGAAGTACGTCTAAGGAATTTTAGTAAGTTATCTAGAACATATTGTGAGACTCTCTAGTCATTGATTATAGCACCTTAACAGCAAAGTGAATTCAAAGTGAGCATTTTCTGTCATTTTTGAGACAGGTAGGAGTCTGTCAGGTGCTCTCTATTATGAAGAGAATGCTTTGTCCTTCAGTCCTCAGCTGGGGGAGTGTGGCCATTCTCTGGTACATCAGTTTTCAACTGCTAAGGAGATAATCTTTCCCAGCATTATAAAGTCTGATACTTCCCTGTTGACAATACCCTTTTTCTAATAACATTTTGGGAGTGTAATCAGGAATACGAATGTTTCAGAAACATGAAATGACCTGCTAGTGGACCAATAGACTTCTGAGCAGACTCTTAAAGTAATGGCTGAAAGGAAAGGGCTAAGAGGAGGAAGGGTATCAACGGGTATTAATAAGTTTTGACAAAGCATGCTATCAATATCCGTTTGTTTTATATGATGCATTTTACATTGTTCTGTTTTCATGGGGGAAAAACCCTTTTAATGTCTGTATAACTACAGCAACCCTTTAGATATATTTGACTTTGGGTGTTGTCTTAAGTTTCAATGTTTAACATGTTTGACATCAAAGGGCTGAGCATTTTCCAGCTGACTTTCCATGTGACTCAACTGTGGAGACTGGTAAAGCTGCTGTTTGTAGGAGTAGTAATAGGGCAGCAGTGGTGGAAAGTGTTGGTGGAGAGAACTTTTAGTGATATCATTTGTGAGTGGATGTGAAGCATCAAGGAGACCTTGGGAATCTTATCTGTGCAGCTGAGAGAAGGGGAGTGTTGAGGGGGAAGATCCAGATGAGCGCTGGGAGGAGGTCTGCCACCAGTGAGAAGTGTAACCAAAGTTTTGTAAATGAATTTACAGAGAGTCCCATTTTGCCTTGTGTGGAATGGAAGTCTGCTTTTCCTTGTCTGTGTTAAACTTCACATTCTCTTCTTTTTAGTTTTAATGCTATTTGATTAGGTCAATTCACTTCTTTTTTAATTCAATATTCTTATTATGTACTTATCTATTATATACTTTCAGGCTTTGTCAAGAGCTAATCTTGTTAAAAAAAACCTTGAAAAACAACACCAAAAAGCACCCATATATCTTGGAAAGGAGACAGGAACAATAGTTGACACTAAGATATACCAAGCAACACCCATATGGCTGGTTGGCAGATTAATAGTCTAAAAGCATTGGTTTCATAATATAATAAAATGACTGAAAAGGGAGAAGAAGGACTAAGAATAAAATAAACTGTAGATTAAGTAAAATAAATGGTAGGTAAAATAATCTGAGAGCAGCGAAGAGAAAAACTCTAGATATCATTGCACATGTATCTGAATGGGTCATATGACCGTAATAAATTTATTGATTGCTGTTGACTGCTCTTACATACTTGTCTGTTGATGCAATAGTTTGCTGTAGAAGATTTTAGGGGCCAGAATCTTGTTGGTGATTTATGCCTGCATAAGCATGACAAATTGCCACTTATTATGAGCTACTGCGTATATTCGGACATGTGTGCCTGACTGCACAACCAGTACATTCCTCATAATATGACCAGTGCTTTGTTAGTTAGTAGCAGTTTGCCATGGTGAGTTATGCTGTTTAACTTACATATGTCTTAATCCTCAACAACATTCTGGCTACTGTTTTTGGATTGTCATGCTTATTGTTGTCATTTTGTATGTTGTGAGCTGTTTCGGACCTCTGTAGAAACAGGATATAGATAAATAGATGTGAGGATGAGGATGGTGAGAAATCCTCAGGATTAGAAAGCTGTGCTCCTTCATTTCAACAGAAAACTTCTTCACAATGGACATGTTCCATAATTTTTTTAAGTCATTAGTGAATTTATATGCAGTCTACTCCTTCCTTTCTACTGCAAGGAAGAACTTTTGAAAATAATCCTATATCTGGTGAATATATTATGGCCATATACTGAATTGAAAAGCCAAAATCTTGAAATAGTAGGGATGGAGTCTTGAACAACCGAAGTGTATATTCCTCTGCTTAGTCTAATGTTTGGATTTTTGGCTGCAGCCCATGTAACATGTTCCATTCCCTGACAGACATGACTTTTAACCTTGGCGTTATGACTGACGTCCTTGAATATCGCACTTCCCACCTTGTATTAACATACTGGTTGGTACAGTTTCTTTTCCATAGCAAAGTCAGATTTATTGTTCCAAATAAGTCTCCTGAGTTGTATATGTGACACACATATAGGCTTATCCTTAGCATTTGTTCCTTGAGTGTCTCATGTGAACATGTCTTTTTGTTTGTTTGTTTTTTTAAAAAATCAATGTTTAGGTTGCCTTTGCCTCCAGGAGCCTTTTTGGGTCTTTGGAAAAATGAAGATCTGTACAAGGAATTGTATTTCAAAAAATTTCCGGTGAGAAGAGTTAAAAATGAATGCAATGCTTAATAAATTGTTTCTAGTATTTTAGATTATAAAATGCCAGGCTACGTTTTCTTTACCTCTTTACCTCTAGGCTACCTCTTCTTTAATTGAAAATAGGTGCATGCGCCCTTTTCGAGTCATAAAATTTTCTTAAGTGTGAGAAATGGCTTATATTTCTCAATACTGAATGGGTAAATATTGTATTAAGCTATTATAGATATTTTAGCCTTAATTCACTGTTTCCCTGCTTATAATATAATACATGTAGTTCTTTCTGCTAGAATGAAATATTCTCTTGTCTTGTTCCAGTTACTCATTTCTTTCTCACTTTCCCAGATTAGACTACAAGCCAGTATATACCTTCCAGAATGTAGTGCTGAGCTGGAGTTGCATGTCCATGTTATACGTCCCTGAATGGTCACACTTGCTCTTTAGGGAAGCCAGTATATAGTTACACTGTTTATATCATGCTCAAAATGGAAGACAATTGAAGCAGAGATCATTTTAGACTGATGCCAAGGATTGGATTTTGACAAAAGTGATTTATTTTTTGCATTGTACACCTGATACTTTTTAAATAGTGGAACAAAATATTATTGATGTATTTAATATTCTGAAAATATTGTCTTTTTTCCTTTCTTTATTCTCAGGGATACTATGATACTATGGATGCTGGCTACATGGATGAAGATGAATATTTATATGTTATGTCTCGAGTGGATGATGTGATCAATGTTGCAGGTCACAGGATTTCAGCAGGGGCAATTGAAGAGGCAAGTGCAAACCAACCTGATGCATGAAAATAAAATGTTCATCTAAGATTTCCAGTCTTCAGTGAAAGATATTTCCATCTTGTGACCCATAGAATTGGGTTTAAGGTATATAGTATTCATGAGTCCAGATGTGGAACAAAGGACCAGACAGTCCAGTGCAGCATAATTCAGTAAAAATCTGCCTTGCTGTCTCTAAGTACTTCTTCCTTAGGTTTAAAACCGAGATTGGTTCAGCAGAAATGGATATTTTGTGTATACTAAATACCAAAACACTTATTTTTAAATGAAGAATCTGGTTAGTTCAGCCAACTATTGACAGTATAACAGGGATCATATGTCTTGGAAGGATATGCTGATGTTCTATCCTGATCAGAAGTTATGATATATAGTAATTTAAGTTTAGATAAATCCTTGAGAGTTGCAGATGTTAATAAACTGTTATATTTCTGTGCTATGGATTGTAACAGAGAGTATGACTGTTTTCTTAATGCCCTTACAGTTGCTAAGAGACTTATACTCCATGATGGGAAAGAAAACCATCATCTATCATTCAGACTCCAAAGTTCTCCCATTTTCTTATTTTTATAGTTTAGTTACAGAAATAGAAATTATAGCTTTTACTGAAGAGGTCTTTAGACCATTTCAAGTACACCATACCCAATATACAATAATCCAAAGACTCCCAGCCCACGAGTGAAAGGACTGATTTCAAGGTCACTAAATCAGGTATTTGAGATTACATCAATCAAATCCTCATTCTCAAATAGACATCCAAGTATGTTTCTGATACACATTCCTTTTCTTCCTCTTTCTTCCTAAGGGAGGTTGCCTTACCAGCGAAAAGGCAACCCTCTGTGTCGCATATAAGCTAGATCCACTCAACAGACGGTCCAGTTTCCTCCCGTTATCCCATATTCTCATACTATTAAGAAAAGGTGTTAGGTAACGTTATCTAATGCTGTCATATAGCTGACAATGAAACAGATAATGTGCAAGAGCTTCAACTTCATCTATACCACACGGGCAGAGTCTATTTTGGACAGGGACATCCACAAATTGACCCTGTTGCATCATTGTATCCATTTGTTCAATGTGGAGATGAGTAAAGGCCACACACCGGACCATTTTTAAAAGACAAATATTTTTCTTCTTGGAACTGAACCTTGGACCTCGCCAGCCATTTCATAGATCTCACTGATACCAAGTCTACTAAATCTACCTGTGCTCTAATATCTAAAATACTTCATTTAAAAATTTTGTTTTAATATTACAATGAGTTGACCATTTCAACGCTAAAACCATATTTTGTAAATGTTTTTAAAAGATTTAAAAACTAAGATTTTTTTAGAGGTTGTAATCATTTGTTCATCTAAACATGCCGGAGGGAATCTGGTATTACTCATTTGCACTAACTTGAAAAAAAATTATGTCATTTGTTAGCATTCAGAGTTTACTTGAATTGACGTTTGTATCTTGGTGTAATTTTTGGTCCAATTCCAAAACAGATGTTGCTGCAGTTAATGTTGAAAGAAGCTGATATTAAATCTCTTACTATGACAAATATTTTTGCAGTTGAGACTTATGTAGTTGTAGAGTGGAACATATACCATTTATTTATTTTTCAACTTGTGGTTATATTTGAATGGCCTTTGACAAATATTTTTGCAGTTGAGACTTTTGTAGTTGTAGAATGGAACATACACTACCTATTTATTTTTTAACTTGTGGTTATATTTGAATGGTGGTCAGGGAAATTGACAAATGTTGGTCAGGGAAAATCAGGGAAAGTCAGGGAAATGAAAAATAAAATAGTTTGGAATGCATCCAGAACCTGATTGATGTTTGCCATAGTAGAGCGTATCGTACATCCTAGGGCACAGGCTGCTTCTGAATTTAAAAAGAGATTAAGAGATTTCATATCAACATGCTGCCATCTTAATCTTTTTTCTTGCGCTACATTCAGTTGTTGTATTATCTGTTTGTTAACGAGCATTATATTTTTTAGATTAGATTGAAGAGTTATCATTGATGCTATGGGTTGATGATCACTGTCTTCTCTTACATTTACTGTAATGCCAGAGAAAACGTGGCTTTTATGGCTAGACACACAAGTGTAATCAATAACATTACAGGCATTCTGGGTGACGTATGTATAGGGATAAGGTGATTGACAGTTGATGGGCCCAAGAATCTGCAAATCAAATGCAAAGTATGTATAGGGATAAGGTGACTGACAGTCGATCGGCCCAAGAATCTGCAAATCAAATGCAAGCAACAATCTCAGCAGTTTTAGTCTGGCTTTGTTTGACTTCTTGTCTCTAGAAAACCAACAGAACACCTCTTGCAATTCATCTTGGAGACCCCATAACTCACCAATGTTGGGTGTGTGTATGTGATGATCCGATGTGGGCGTTAAAATCACTCAGCAATTAGCACTTGGGAATCCTAAGATTAGCAATTCCAGTAATTTTTCAAGAAGTGTCAAAACATCCTTAGAATAATGCAGTGAATTTGATGGTGGAATATAAATGTTGACTAAAATCAAAGCTGAACTAGTAGTAGTAAGCTTGACCACTAGACAGTTTTGGGCAATTTCAGTATTTGTCACCAATTCTCCCTCCCATCCTAGGTCTCCCTTAACTACAGTTAACAACCCTCCTACTGCTCTCCCTTTATTTTTGAACTTTTGGGCTGGGACAGACTCCACTTCCAGGGAAGGGAATTTTTCTTATTTTTATAGCTTAATTACATTATCCTGTGAACAGACAAACGTGAGGTAGGGGGAATTCGCTGTGTCTGACTTTTAGGAAAGGAATTAGTTGTTTTGTGGATTGTTCATATTTTATTGCAGTGCTGTCACTCTGTGTTGTTGAAAAAAGCTCTCTAATTCCCTTCACTTGTTTACTGGGCAGTGGGTGGCAATTGATTGCTCTGCTGAGCGTAGTTCAGTTACTATGCCATCTTCAATAGGGGATTGATTTTGTACCTGTTTTTCCTGTTTCAAGTAGATGAAATGATTTGTTCCACAGTTAAGGGTACTGCACCTTTATTCCAGATGCATACTCAGAAAACTGGCATGTTAGTCAAGCTGCCCGTATTATTTGTGGAAAGATATTACCCATGATAAATGCCATTATAGTTTATGAATAGTGTTGTAGCTTGGATAACAAATTTATTCATAATATGAATTACTACCTGCAAGTTTATTACTTTAAGCCAATAAGTGTTACAGTCATTATAATATTTCATTAGAAAGGCATAGAATCAGACATATTTGGCAGTCACCATAGATTAAAGAACAGGCATGGAAGTGCAAGAACAAGCAGACAAGAAATATATACCATCAGATAGGGACACAGCTACCAATTTTGGCATTGAGCATTTTGCTGCCCTGTTGATTAACATTTGGTCATCTGAGGCAGGCAAAGGATAGAGAAATGGAAAGGCACAGCTAAGTTTGAGTTCATGATGTACATATTGGTTCTTCACTGAAGCTGCCTGATTTCTGTTTTTTTTTTCTGGAGGAACACCCAGAGGCAGACTGCATACTTAGGGTTGATAGGTTTATGGCCTTCTAGTGACAGATACCTTTTTCACCAGCAATCCCCCCCAAAAAATGTTGGTACCCAGGCACAAAGGTACAGTTGCCCTACCCTAATAACAGTTGTGCCATCATATAACTCTGAACTTCTCTCCTTATTGAACCAACAGTGCCATAGTATCACCACAGGTGCAGCAGTTGAATGCATGGTGGCTGCTCAATAATTCCTAGTGCATCTGTTAAAATCTGCTACAGTTCTGGGGTCCAATGCTGCTGTTTTGGCAGAAGTCACAATATAGTGAGTAAATTCTTGGCCACCTGCTTCCATTGTTATGTCTGAAAGCTTTGTATGAGAATAGATTGTGATTTCTGGATTTCAGATATTCTAGATTGATAATGAAATGCTCACTGACATGTGTTCATTGAGTTTTTCCCCCCTCTGTTCCCTCATTAGGCTGTTCTCTCTCATAGTGCTGTTGCGGATTGTGCTGTTGTTGGCCAAGAGGACTCTTTAAAGGGCCACATCCCACTAGCGTTGTGTGTCCTCAGAAATGGTGAGATCCTATTTGTTTGCAAAGCTAGATACTAGTCTTGAGTCTGTGGTGTGAAAATGTTTGTCTTCGTGTCTTGACCCATCAGACTGTGGCCCTTTGGATGGCTAATAAAATTGTAGCTGTATGACTGAATAGGTCACTTGGGATAGCTGTATTCTTCCATTTCTTTCAGGAGTGAATACTGAAGAAGAACAACTTTTGGAAGAAATTGTCAAGCAAGTCAGAGAACACATTGGCCCTGTGGCAGCATTCCGGAAAGCCGTATTTGTGAAGCAGATACCAAAGACTCGGTCTGGCAAGATACCACGGTCAGCTCTTTCTTCCCTCGTGAATGGGAAACCATACAAGGTAAATAGCACCATTTGTTTCTTACTAAGGTACATGCACTTGATATTTTGATTTTGTGCAGATATCACTAAAATACCCAAGTCATCATCCTCTATCAGCTTTATTACATTTGTGACAATGTCAAAGATAGGAGCATTGGTCTGTTGCATTCTAGATTTTTATCTTTCTGGTCCAGTGTTGACATCTAGAATAAGACATTCTGTTGATCTCTTCAAATAGTTTTAAAAAATGTCTTTAGTGTACACGCTGGCCAGTATTTTGTGAAGAACTGCACAGATTCTGTGTGTAGTCACCGTTTCCATTGTCTACACCAGTGAATTGCCTGTTTGAAGCAATGAGGTGTTCTCCAACTTCATAAAAGCAAGACGGAGAGCACAAGGTGGAAATGTGGATGCTCTAGCAATGAGAGCCAGTATACTCTGCAAAAACCAACCTGATATTGGTCTGTAATTTTATCCTTGATGTCAGGATATTATAATTAACAGCCTGCCATTTTGATTTTTGCTTTATTTCTTCAGATAACTCCAACAATCGAGGACCCTAGTGCATTCGCACATGTAGAAGAAGTGTTAAAGACGAAGTTAAAATGATAATTGGCTATGGAAATCTGAGCTACATGAGTTATCATGTAAGTCCAATATCTATGAATTAATGCAAGTTCTGCAATGTATTGGCTGAGCTTATACCCCAGTGAAAGGTAATTAGTATTAGATTGCTGGTATAATGTTCAAATAATGAATATGGTTTTGAGGCTCAGATAACTATTAGAACTAAGTAAACAGAATGAAGTATGTATAATTACATGCAGGGCCAATCCTGTATTTAAATACAAAGAAGAAGATGATGGCATAGAGCACATCCTGCCATCAAGTCCCACCCATTTCATTATTGACTGCACTTTACATATATGGACTAGTATCCTGTTGGCTGCAAACGTGCTGCGGGACAGTCTGTGCTGTGTATGGTTCTCTTTCTTCTGGTGCTTCTGCAAGGCGGTATACAGTAACCCCTTGTACTAGCTGTACACCTGTTTAGAGCAATGTGGTGATCTCTGGCTTGCATAACTATAAGCAGAGACCAGCAGAACTTGGATGCAGCACTCCACCAATGGACCTGTTACTTCATTGAAGAGAAACAGGATACCAGCCCCAATCATACTGGTAGGGTCACAATTCACATAAACTGATCTGACTACATAGTAGAATGTGTTCTGAAATAAAGCAGACATTGTAGGGTTTATGTTGTACCGTGCCACAAGACTTTTATCACAATATATCTATGGGAGTTTGAATCCTCCTCCCAATTTGATATTTGTATTTAAAGTAAGGGAAAGAGTTTATTCCCCCCCCCCAGGCCATCAAGAAGTGAGTTACATACAGTAATGTGAAAACCACCCTACTGCCATTGCTTCTACAAATTAATTGGACATACTGTATATCCTTAGGCACATCTTGCCCCTCATGCAAATTTTCAAAATCAAATTCTTCCAAGTGACCAGTAGTTAGGAGTTGCTGCTTCTCACAGGAAAACTTACCATACTATGAATTAATTCTATCTCCATAGCAAACTCTTCCTCTACATATGTGGGTTTTTTCCTCCCTAAAGTGTTCATGCTTCATAATCTGTTGTTTCTGACATTTTCCCGCATAATGAGGACAATGTTTGCTAGTCTCCACTATTCATCTGAAGGCTAAGGAACTAGGGTGTGATAAACATTCCCTTCAAATGACAGATATCCAGACAGTTACTTATCTCCTCATCATAAATGAAACTGTAACCAACCAGTCCTTAGATACTCTGTTACACAAAGAAAAAGTAGAAGTCATAATAGTGAGAAACATTTCTAAATTGTAGTAATACTAAAAAAAGAAAAAAAGTTCTTGACTACAGAAATATGTAGCATTTAAAAAAAACCCCAGACATTCCAGTTATCATAACAAGCAGATTATGAGTACGTATAATACTTTTGGGTTTGTGGATGTCAGTACTGATATTTTAATGAAAACATCACAGAGCTGTAGCTTTTTGAAGCAGAAATATTGTCCAGCTTTCAGTAGTATGTGCTCCTAAGAAAAGCTTTATGTTTTCTTGCTAAAGGGGTGGAAATAAGTACATTGTGTATTTTATGATAATAGATACATTCATTTCTCTAATAATTACTGCAATTCCTAGAATAGTTAGTAATGCTGCCTGTGTAACATGCATGAAATTGTCCTCTTTAATGATAAAAGGGAAAGAGCACTATCTAATCACTTAGAATGGGGTTTTTTTTGTAAAGGGCTGTAAACCCACAAAGAAAGTCCACTGAGAAAAGTCTTCTCCTCTTACACATGTGCACCATCTTTTACCTTCCCTTTGTCTGCTGCATTCCCAGAAAAAAACCCCACAAGCTCACCCTGTGCTTTTGTCTGAAGTAGGCCCCATTATCTTTAGTGAGATTTTCTGTTTGGAAAACTAGGTTTAGGATTGAATCCATTGGCAGACATCTGCTTGCTTACAGAGAAGGTGTGCAGCATCATGGTAAACACATTCTGCTTAAGGTCCTTACAGCTTTTCTATGCGTGAGACCTATAATCAGATCTCCCATTCACAGAGGTATTTGTGGTAAGCTGAACAAGTTTGCAAGTACTGCTGCAGGCCTTTGCTGTGAACTGGTAAAAGCTTTCCTGTCTTTGGATTGTGTAAGCATTTCGGGGGCAAGTCTTATCTGCATGCTCATGTCAGCACTATGCCCTAATGTGGTTCTTGCTGTTAACACTTAAATAGGGCTTAACAATCCAGTAACTTTACTTATAGAGCTACTTATTATCTCTGCTTCTGCCCAAGTTGGGACGGGACATCACTGACAATGTTCTTACTATTAAAAAAAAAGTTAACTCATTGCATGTCTCTGCTAGAAGAAAGTGTGCAGGCAAGTTGGACTGTGTATAAAAATTAGATACTAGCCTGTGGCAGGCAGATATGGGCAAGTTAGATTGCTAGGTGTCTGCCAGGAGGGGACATTTAAAGCAGCTGATTTAAACTATATGCTTATCTGATGTGGAACATGAAGACACATTAAACCAGGAGTTCCAAAACAGATTAATGTGCCTAAAACTACACAACAATGTCACAATTTAGCCATTATTGCTATTAAATAGTGACTATTTGGTTATATTGCATAGTAATCAATGGATCAAACTAGTGTCCTGGTAGCCATATCTAAAGTTCAATTACAGGAAATGGGACCTCCCCCCCCCCACTGTTTCTTTGACACAATAGAAAGCAGCACCTTCAGTGCACCATCTTGTGGCAGATTGTATTATTGTCTTCCAGAGCACATACTGCCTGCTTGTTTACAGAAAATGATGTATTTATTTCTATTCATCCCTGAAGCAATATTAGCCTCTAAAGTTCCACTTGAAAGTATGACACACGCCGCTGTATCACAGACTGAACACATAAAACAGCACTGATTTTCTTTTATTGACAATAGGGGAGAAAAAGTCTGTCACCATTTGGTTAACTGAAATCATGTATAAATAAATAAAAAAGAAGTATGCAGGAAAACAAATGTACGTGCAGATGTTTTGCAAATCAGCCTGCTGAATGGAATAACCAAAAGACAGGTCTTAAGATATGATCAGGCAGCGGGAAATTAGCAAATAGTAGGTAAATGACATTATTAAATAGGTCTTACTTTGAAACTTCTCATAGAAACAAGGAATAAACATCAATAACACCACCAAATAAAGCCACAGCAGATAATAGTTTTTCCTCTAAACTTTTATACATTATAGATCAACTGTTCTGTCTTTCAGTTATTTCCTCTGACAAAGCTGACTTCAGTGAAGTCTCAGCAAGGCCGTTTTGGATAAAAGCATGACATTAGACAAGCAGCTGCCTAGTGCCCTATTTATTATGAAGAAAGGGAGGGCATTTTTAAAATAAAACTTGAAGATCAAATTTATTTTCCTTTGATGTTTTCATTTCACACTCATGCTGGCTGGCCTGTGAACAATTTGGGAGGAAAAAAGTGATTCCTAGCAAAGCTAGGTGCTTCTAGATCCATAAGCAGCTGTTGAGAAAAATGCCTCTTGCTAAGTTGTTGTATTTAACTCTTGCAAATGATTTTTTTCTCCAGGTTGATTTTAAAAAGAGAGCCATCACAGTGCTTTCCTGCAAAAGTGTGTGTGGTTGTGTATATGTGTTTCAATTCTGTTTTGCCCTTTATAGGTCCATTTTTTTTTTGGCTCAGGTTCCATTGTTTCAGTCTTTCTTATAAATCATCAGAGGCAGGTGTTAAGCTTTAGATATTGACAGATTTCTTTAAAAAGTAGGAACATGTTGAAGCATCTAATAACTTTGCTAAACAGATCCAATTTACTTTGCTACAATTCAAAACTGTAAAAATGGTGGAATGGAAAGATACAAACAGTATTGTTTGACAACATATTGTCAAGCATTTGCACTAAGACCCCATGTACCATAGATTTAATTTGTTTTAAAAAATCATATTTATATCCATTTACATGAAACTTACACATATTAAAAGAAATGCATACACAGTAAATACATAAACTCTAGTATATTACAATAAAACGGATGAAATAAGTTTAAAAATGAGTATCTCCCTTTGATAAAAGTGTTATTTAGTCATTTTGGCCAAATTTATGATGATACATTGGGGTTTATTTTTAAAAACAAATTAGTACCTGTTATTTTATTGAACTACCCAATGAGTGCATTCTGGCCAGTACTACTGCTACACTTTCTTACATCATTTCAGTGAGATTTGCGTCTAGATCATATGTGAACTCCACTGAGATAAATAAAAGTTGTGTCACTGCAGTAGCACCGGACAGGCTGCACATTACAAGTTAATATGTAAAAAGATCATCACATTTTAATCTGATAAACATATATATTTTCTTCCCTATTACCCTGTTTGTGGAATAAAAACTTCTTTTTCTTAAGATGGTAGTAGTGCACTTCAGGTAAAGTAGAAGAAAAAAGGTGGTATCTAGGAAGCAAGGAGAAATGGTACATTCAGTACTAAAAGTCTTTGCAATATGCAATTACAATTCATTTAATAAAACCAACAAAGATTTTAGGAGAGGCAAACAGAAATAGCAGTGGAGTGCTGGCTGAAACTGTTAAGACCCATAGAGGAATGAGCCACAAGATACATTGGAGTGAATTCCCTATGGAAGCTTTGTGGCATTTAGACCAGAATTGACAAGGCATGTTCCTCTAGATCACAGGTTCCCAGTCTGGGAGTTGTGGCTCCCAAGGGGGCTGCAGAGTGTTTTCTGGGGTGGATGCCGAGGTTATTTTTAGTTGCAATTATCTTTATAGGAAATTTCACCATGAAAGTTTTCAACACTTACTTATTGCCCAGGTATAAGTACAAAAATCACATTAAATATTAGGTTAGAATTAGAGTCTGAAAAAAAAAATCAATTTTAATGTCTTTAATTTCTCCTACTAAAATGTATATTAAATACTAAAAAGTTTTAATATTCTTCACATTCAAGCAGAACATTGCTGGCCAGCTGGTGCAGGGAGGCTTCCTCGCTACAGATAACAGTGGTGCCAGGGCAGCAGCTGACAGTCCTCACCTGCTTAACATATGGCAAAAGCAGAGCCATTGGACATGTCCCCATGGGCAAGAATGTTGCTGGACGGCCAGTGCCAAGGTAGCCAGGAAGCTTCTTAGCACCGGCAGGCTGGCAACATTGTTCTGGCCTTGAGGGGGGCTCCGTTTTCTCTGCATGTCAAGCAGGCGAGCAGTCTCAGCTGTCCCCAGCACTGCCCATAGCCAGGAAGCTTCCCAGCACTAGCTACTTGGTGACACTGTTTGAGGGAATCCCTACTATAGTTTTTAAAAGTGTGAATTGTGCCCTGTTTTTGAACCATAGGAGGGCTTTTGTCATGTGCAGAGACAGGAGTTGCTTTTGGTTCCTAAGAGGAGGGAGGAATGAATTTCTCTCATGTTTAATTGTTTTTAATTATATATTTATTGCCCTTTTAACATTGCCTGTATTTTAATTATTGTGAGCCACCCTTTATGGGAGAAAGGCAACATAGAAATGAAATGAACTAATAATTGGTTTTAAGATTAAGAAGTAGGAATAACAGATTTTCTTAAAGGCCTTAAGACTGAGGTCAGGACAGAGTTGAATCTAAGGAAGATAGGTTTGGTGAAGACAACTTAGGGATAAGATTACAAGTGAAAACAATTTATAAGTGCTTTTCGGTGAGGTTGACTCATGCAAGTGCCTTAAATGTCCCATTCTGGCAGTTTCTTAAGTGCAGGAACCTGCAGTGTTCATAACAGCAGCCACATCTCCAACATATGAAAAGAGGTGAGCCTGGTATGAAAATGATTGGGTGCGGACTTCTGGCTTGATGCTGCGACGAAACAGCAGCAGGAGGATGGGGCTCCATCGCCTGAGGTGAATTCCAACCTGTTTGGGACCCCCCCAGGTGGTGAAATGGGGAGAAGCCTGCTGATCACAGGGGAACAGCGGTTACCCACTGGAAACTCCCCAATCAACCAGCAGGTGGAAACAAGCAGCTGAACTTGCAACTTCCTTGCAAGTTGTTGGCAGCCAGGAATGGAAAAGTGATAAATTAGCTTAATTAACATTGTTAAGGAGCAGCGGGACAAGGACCGCCTAGAGGCAGCCACTGAGCGAGGACTCCCACTGCCCTTCCCTGTAGGAGGAAACAGTGACTCGCTCGCTCACTCGCCTGTTTTGCATGGAGCTGCTCCGGTTGAGAGCCACTGGGCTCCGCAGGGACCTGTCGTGTTAGGGGGAGGAGGAGGACGCGGGGTCCCCTGTGGTGGATTGGGCCCTCTGGCTTGGCTAAGCCGCCACTGCCACGATGGTGGCTTGCAGGCTGCACGCCTCCTGCTGGCGGACGCCCCCAAGAAGGCGAAAGCCAGCCCGGACCATCCTCGCCCCACGATGGCGGCGAGGCCTGGCCAGCCAGGAAAGAAGTAACGCCCTGGCGCAGAGGTGAGTCACTCGCTCTGCTGGCCAGACTCAAACATCTGGGGGAGAAGCCTCACACACCCCAAAGAGGTGGATGTGGATGAATGTGGCAGGCGGAGGGAGTGGCACGTGGGGCTTCAGACCGAAGATGAGCTCAAGCTCCTCCCCCGGATGTTGAGTCTGGGTGTTCCGGACTCAAACGTCCGTTGTTACAGATGCTACCAAGGCACCGTGAGGAGCGGGGGCTCAGCCTACCTGGCAAGTGACTTTTTCTGACGTTTTTGCCCATAGAAACACATTAATTAAATTTCAATGCATTCCTATGGGGAACCACACTTCGCAAGATGAAAAACTCGCAATAAGACATGTCTAGCGAGTCACCAAAAACATCACAAAATGCTTTTGTCTTGCGAGTTTTTCGTTGTGCAAGACATTCTTTTTGTGAGGTACCACTGTAGATTTGGAACTGGAATTACTTTTATTAGGTATGTTATTAGAGGATTTTGAGAACATTGTATACTATTAACACAATATTATGATAGTAGCCAATATTGTATACTAAAATATACAAATGAACGGTTTAAATGTTTAAAAAAATGTATAGATTTTGAAGGGACAACTAAGAAGATACCAAGATGCAAAGAACAAATATTTATAAGCAACCCATGTAACAGGATGCTTAACAGGCATGAATTGAATGTAGATAGATTGAAAAACTAATAAAATGTTTAAAAAGAATAAACAAAATGGTTAGGTCCGTAGCCTCCTAGGTATGCCATGTATCTACCTGTATCTACAGTGGAAAGGCAGATTGTTAGTCAGATGCCATTGGTAACAACAGCAGTAGTATCCATGTCTGTGCCCCAAGGAAAGGCTCTAATATTATTTTAAGAGTGCCATATGATGGCATCAGAGCTAGTTATGGTGGAAGTCACTCCCACTGTCACAGCTGTTACTTTGGAAGAAGTACCTTTTCAAAAGCTCTTTCTGTCTTTGTCTAAACTGCAGCTGTAACAACACCTGAAGGTGCTTTCAAGTAAAATAGATGAAGAAGATACTGAGTTTAGAGGATGTACTTTTCCTCTGACTCGTTGGTTCTCAGCCTTCAACTGTACTTCATATCCTCTAGAGGTTGGCCATCTTGGCTCGAGCTTTTGAGAGTTAAAGGCCAACAACATTTGAGAACCAAAGGTTTTAACTTGAAATTCTTTTAAATTGCATGAGGAATTTCTTTCCTTAATTTTATGTTTTTGTATGCATCTGTGATGGTGGTGTATATGTTTGCTTGTTGGGACATTTATTAACTTTGGGGTCAATAATGAGAAAATATCAGTGACAGTGGTGCCCCCAACACAAAAGCAACAAAAGTCCACTTGGCCCCACTTGTTTCCTTTTTGCATTGTCCACTTGGTCTGCATGCTGCTGAAATGAAGCTCTTGAGACCCTGAACCAAAAAAGCCCACCAACCCAAAGATATATCTTTATATAGAAGACTATTCCCTTATGCTCAGTGTGAAGAAGTAGACTCCAACACAGATTTTACCATTTCAGGGAAAACTAGGCTTAAAAACACAGGTTTATCAGGTACTCAGCAGAACCTGGCAGGCATCAAGAAAAATATTGTTGGATGTTCCTTTTTCATAAATTTTCAATGTTCATGTCTGAATACTCACTTTTGTTCAGCTCAGAGCTCTCTTCTGTGTTAGACTTGTCAGCATGAATACGTGCGAACTGTAGAACTGTCTAATCTCTGCAGCCGTGCTGACGCAACTGGAAAATCGAGAACCAAAACATCAATAAAAAGTTTTCATTCAGAAGGACATAAAATAACCTTCTTCCATTTTTGTTTTTGCATGAAAAAATGTACTCCACTCTGTGAGATACTGTAATGGGCTCCAGATTTCTCCAGATTAATTAATACTACTCATTTGTTCCTGTACTTCATATTTATTAATTATATGTCCAATCTAGATCATAGAACACAATCTTAGATTGGTCCTTGAATGAGAATAAGAATGCACCTGCTGTCTTTTAGATGTCATCATACATTCACATAGAGGCGGAAAATTTTAAAAAAGAGATGAGTAGAGAGTCTTTGCACCAGATTCTTTGGCCTACCTCCCAGATAAAAATCGGAAAATTGCCCATGCCCTGTGGACCTTTGTATGAATGACTTAGACGACCATTATATCCACACACATATATCCAGTGGAGGGACACAATGTGGGTGAGGAGGAAAATCTTACTCTGGCATGGGAGTATGGGTCACAATTATCACCTGATCCAGCATTTAATGATGGGATAACTGTTGTGGAAAGGGCGAGATATATCTCACCTGAGAAAGCAAGGGCACATAAGAAAACCAAAACAAATGATGTCTTTGTAATATAGAAAACATTCCATACAAATATGACAAATGGGGAAAAGCCCTCATTTTTTTCCCAGTTTGACATAGCTCTTTACCATCTCAACCTGCCACAGAATACATACACCACCATCTGATATCTGGCAATAGCTGTTTCCTCTACCAGCATCAGTGCTAAACAGCTCATAGGAAAAGTGGAAGCTGACAGTTTGAAGCATAATTGGAAAGTTTAGTATCTTATCGCTGTCTTTTTCACAGTGTATTATATATATTTCTTCTGCTTACTTTAATTTACTCTCTCCTAGATTATGACTTGCTAAGAGTAAATGCTTCACACCGATGGAACCAGTAATGAAGTTGATCTGCGATATTAAGGTGGAATGTTCTCTGCTGCAGAGACCCCGAACACCCAACAACATTCTTTAGTTTTGAAGCAAATATTAACGTCCTACCATCAGATGCCATTTTTCGTGACTGTCCTGATGTTGTAGTTAACCTGAAGCCAGCTGGCAGTGTTTCTGAAGAACCAGGCATCATGCTGATTCCATGGACTTCACGTGGAGGAAACTGTCTTCGCCAGGAAGAGCCACGCCTGTAATTCTTGTCATCACTCTGTTAATGCACATAGGTTTGGAGTTAACTAAAATTAAAGGGTAGACTCCTGGATGATTTACCATTCCCTCTGGTTTGCATTATCATCTTTTTTTAAAAAAAGAATAGCCAAGTAAGATATCACATATGGTATCCAATATCACTTGTTTCAGAAACTTTCAGTATTACATCCTATTTTTGATTATTGATAAAGGTTATGGTTTCTTACTCTTGTTTTATCATAACTCATTTTTTAATAAAAAATCAATGCATCATTTAAAATTACAAATAAACATAAGACATAGTTTTTAAACCCTTCTTATTGTAAAACAAATTATTGGAAAACAAATATAATTTTTTTTCTTGTCATAAAGCATTAATTGAAATTTATCATAAGTAAAAGCAGAAACAAAAATTTAACATGAAGGATGCCTCTGTATCTCATAGTCTTACCCCATGCTTGGAGTTTCTTTGTGCCCCAAACCCCTATCACCCTGCTCCAAAGGGCGATTCCTCTAGTTTGGGAGCTAAAGACATGTGTTCTAATGTAGCCAGCCATGCAGCGAACATGTGGATCAACTAATCTCCAAGTGGCATTGTGATGCATCATGTCCACCAAGTGAGGATGTGATATAGAACACACAACACATCTGTTGGTAAGGTCCCTACAGAACCTCAAAGGTTAAAAGCTGCTGTTTAGAGTCTTGACAAGATCTGAGGTTGCTCATTCCTTATCTGGATACCTCTTTTACAATCTACCTCTCAGAAATGTCAAGAAAAGATAACACTTTTGAGTATGCCTCTCTTTAAATCTCTTTAATTTGTTATCTTTAAATCTCCTAAGAATATATTAAGCCAAAGACGACAGAAAACCAACTGTTCAAATTGACCTGTTCTAGCTCCTGTCCTCTGAATATGCCAGCCCCAGAGACTGGCAAAACGTTAGGAAGAAAAACCTCCAGAACATGGCTAAACAGCCCAAAAAACCCACAACAACCATCAGATCCGGACCATGAAATCCTTTGCCAATACACTGACATATATTTGTTTATTTCATCACAGTCCTGCATTTACAGTTCACAGTAATTGTGACATTAAGTATGTGACACCATGAAACTACAGGAAATGCTGATGTTTATGTAACTTTTGATCACCACTAATCCTAGAGCTTTATTTCCAATAGTATTTGCATTATGTGTTACCTTCTTCATGTATATGTTATCACTGGTTATCTGTGGGAAACCAAGAGCAACTAAAATCTCAGTTTGGTAATTTATAATTCATTTATCAAATGTTAGGAGGATTTTGTTGTGTTCTGTTCTGCAATAAAGCCCACATAGTGGTAATGGTTAATTCTCGCCCACACTTCTGTACTTCAAAGATACATATTCCATTGTACCAATTATTTTACTCATTAATACAGAAAGTCAGTGCAGTGAACAAATTTTGTTTACCGCAAGGGAAGATTTCCAGTCCCCTATTTAGTTAATCTTGTTTGAGTACAAATAAAGTTGTATTGGAAACCTTATTTTTTTACTTACTGGACAGAATCTGATTCCTGATTTACTCTTTTGGAAGGGAAATTGCATAAGTGCTGGCAGCAAACAGCTGCCCTTTCATGAGGCGCTGGTTGTGTTCCTGTCTGTGTGCCTAGTCACATGATCAGGAGCTTGTTAAGGAATGCAACCAGTGTTTAATTAATGAGTGACAGGGTTTTTTTTTATAAAACCAGTTATACTTTGTAGTTCATAGTCTAGCACTTAGAAATATGACTTACTTCATCAAGTCGTCTGTCTGTTCCTAGTGCTAATAGATTATTGTATTCTCTCTCAAGGATCTGCCGTGCCTGTGGTTAACCAAATAAAACAACAGAAGTTATAAGGCAACGGATAAAATCCACTGGAATTAATTCCTATAACCAGTTCAGTTACTTACCTGTGTATTTTGTGTTGGAATCTGCAATAATAAAGCTAAACTGCTATAATCGAAGTTATCATCCAGGGCTATGAGAGCTCCATGTACACCACTTTCTAGCACATTATTTGCATATTCCCGTAATCCAATTGCTTGTATCCAGCGTATCACTCTGTCATTACTCCATACCAACACATCTACAGAGAAGGAGGGAGAGAAACATTTCCCCAATGATTGAGCTTTTGCAAGGGAAAAGACATATAGAGATCTGGTAAATTAGCCACACTTCATGCTTTATCATTTCACAGGCCACATAACTTAAGTGCTGAGAGGTGGGGGCTAGCCTGCATCACTGCTTACCTATCCTATAGCTTTGAATTGGTGGTCTTAGGCCCATCCAAGTGAAAGTCTTGTCCCCATCTTAACTGAAGCCAAAAGAGGCAAGAGATTAATACAGTGGACCCCAAATGTCCTTCCTGATTCCCTTGTTGCAAATGGCCCCCTGCTTTGTAGATGGATCAGTTTCTTGTTTCTCCCCAGGCTGAGACAGCACCACTCTGCCTACTAAGCAGTAAGGTTTGGGAAGAGGTGGGGGAAAAATGCACCTAGCAAACTCAGAAAACAGCAATACAAGCAGGGTAAATTATTAATTATACTGCTGGTTGGATTTACTCTTTTTTTTATAATGCAAGCCAATTTTTACACCATGATGTGTACATGTAAATTCTGGATACAGCTTTGTGTCCTCGTGAACACAGAATGCTGGATTTTGCTGCTACAGCTATCTGGAAGCATTACCCCTGGCAGGATGATACTTTCTAGTGCAACAGGTACATGATACACAGTGCCCTCCCAGCAGAAACCTTGCACTACACATTGCCTGCTCCATTTGGTAGACTGAGGTTATCCTTTGCATCAATCTGTTAGTATGAGACTGGCCAACATTTTATGATAATCCCATCAAACAATTTTAATTGCATATTAAAACATTTTTATGAAGGAGCAAAAGGATGGCTTTTATGATGGGGCTCGCCATTAGGGGTTTATACAACTACTTGCATTCAATTTATACATTTTAGAATCTGCTGCCACATTAATTGGGGACTCACCTTAAACTAAGTAATAATAATAATAATTAACGCTGTCAAGTTGATTCCAACTTATGGTGACCCCTTCCTGTTTTTTTAAGATATAAAGAACTGAGAAGTTATCATTCCTTTATTGGAGTGCTGTGGGACTGCAGTTTGCCCAAGGCTACAAAATGGTCTCTCCTACTGGTGGGCATAGTGGGGCATTTGAACACTCAACCTCTGGCTCTACTGCCGGGTACCTCAACCACTGAGGTCAACCAGCATTTAAATTGAGGAAACAATAGATTAAATATAACTGTGGCTGGATTCCGACTGCTTGATTATTAACTTGCTGGTTCTCTGTTATAAGCTGTATTTGGAATTACCTGTTAACTGGCCAGGGGATCATCTTGTTATCAGTACTTGTCAAATGAATGAAACCACAAAGGTAATGGGTCATTGAGATATGAATGAGTTGTTGGGAGGCTGATAAGGGTCATTCTACCCTACTGCTTCTCCTCGATCTCTCAGTGGCTTTTGATACATTTGACTACAGTATCCTTCTGGAAAAGCTTTCGGAGGCCTGACAATAACCTGGCTCCCATCCTTCTTCAAAGCTCTTTCTTGGGATTCACAGATTGCAGCCATGTCCATATCAGATTTAATCAATTTAGGCATATCATCGAACACGGCCCCTACCTAGGCGAGAGCTCCCTCAGGACATTGGTGCAGGCACTGGTCGTCTCCTGGAATGACTGCTGCAATGCTCTCTATGTGGGGCTTTCCTTGAGGCTGACGCTGAGACTACAGCAAGTTCAGAATGCAGTGGGCAGACTGGTAGCTGGTGTGAGTAAATTTGATCACATCACTCCAGTGCTGGCCAGCCTCCACTGGTTACCTGTTATATCCTGGATCAGGTTCAAGTTTCTGACACTCACGTATAAAGCCCTTCATGGTTTGGGACCACATTGCCTGATTGAATGTGTCACCACCAGTCTTGTCTCTGTTCAAAAACTGGCTGCACCATTGTTTAAGTTTTTATACCATGTTTTTGTTGTTTGTGCTATATTTACTTCTGTGCAGTTTAACTGTCTGTAAACCACCCAGAATAGTGTTTTGACACTAATGGGGTGGTACATAAATCAAAGTAATAAATAAAATAAAATAAATGAAATGAAATGTGTGGGGAAGAGAAATGAGGTTAGCAAAAACTCAGCACTATACAAATGGTCACTTAAAAATGTCTTCCATGTTATCTCCTTGTTTGTGGAGAGAGTTTTTTTGGGGGAGAGTTCTAGATCTGGGGTGCCAAAGATCTTCTGGTAGTCACCACCTAGTCTCAAGAATTTAGTTTTAGACAAGTCCATCTGGAACTATACTTAGGAAAACTTCTTTGTCATATTTAATCATGTAAAGGATTGTAAATCCAACAGAGTAAAAATTTGGCAGCATTAAGACTATTGTTTTTCATTAAATAGTTACCTTTTATTTCATGCTGACTTGCTTCTCGTCTTCTTTCAAGTTCTTTCCTGTCATAATTCAGCTTCTTTAAACACATGATTCCATACTGCAGACTTGTTCTGTTATTTAAGAAAATTAACTGTATTTTACAAGATACTTAGAAATAAAACAATGTTGCAAATATTAACAGTTCTGCCAAACATGTATAGAAAAATACCGTAAATATTTTGTAGCTTAGTATTGGCATGACACAAATTGTGGAAGAATGTATATTTGGGAGTGTTCAGCTATAAACCTTTTGTTTTCATGATGTTAGAACTCCTTTCTGTGTTATAAGGATATTACATTAACTTACCGATGAAAGCTATCCACCATTTTTAAGTGTACACGAAGATCTTTTTTTGTTAGGTGATCTAACATCCTTGCATCTACCAGACACTCCATGAAGTAACTTCGATACTGTGGTAATCCTAGGCTGGGGAGCCATTCGTTACCAATCCATTCATGGTTCATATCGCCATAAGCCAGCGTCTATGGTGAAAGAAAAAGAGCAAAGAAAATATGATCAGTAGCCTTTATTCTTAGCAATTATCTTAATCTTTCTATTCTTCTTGGCAGCTTTAGGTAATACTCTATATTTGTAGGCTATGAAATCATTTGAATATTCCTAATCAATGGAGCCCCTTCATGGATTGCTGTCTTGTCATGGCGAAGGGGCTTCAGTAATTCAGAGAAGGTATGGTCTAGGGACACCCAAGATGGGCAGGTCATAGTGGAGAGTTCTGACTAAATGCGATCCACCTGGAGTAGGAACTGGCAAGCCACTCCAGTATCTTTGCCAAGAAATCTCCATCGAAACAAAAGGCTAAAAGATATGACGTTGGAAGGCGTCCAACATGCTACTGAGGAAGAGTGGAGGACAAGTATAAGTAGCTCCAGAGTTAATGAAGTAGTTTGGCCAAAGCCGAAAGGACACTCAGCTGCGGACGCACCTGGAAGTGAAAGGAAAGCCCGATGCTGCGAAGAAAAATACTGCATAGGGACCTGGAATGAAAGATCTATGAACTTTGGTAAGCTGGATGTGGTCAAACAGGCGATGGCAAGAATAAACATTGACATCCTGGGTGTCAGTAAACTAAAATGGATGGTAATGGGCGAATTCAATTCAGATGATCATTGTATCTACTATTGTGGGCAAGAAACCCGCAGAAGGAATGGAGTAGCCCTTATAGTCAAGAGGGGACCTGGAATGAAAGATCTATGAACTTTGGTAAGCTGGATGTGGTCAAACAGGCGATGGCAAGAATAAACATTGACATCCTGGGTGTCAGTAAACTAAAATGGATGGTAATGGGCGAATTCAATTCAGATGATCATTGTATCTACTATTGTGGGCAAGAAACCCGCAGAAGGAATGGAGTAGCCCTTATAGTCAAGAGAAGAGTGGGAAAAGCTGTAATGGGATATAATCTCAAAAATGACAGAATGATTTCAATATGAATCCAAGGCAGACCTTTCAACATCACAATAATCCAAGTATATGCACCATCCACCAATGCCAAAGAGGCTGAAATTGACCAATCTTATGAAGACTTACAACACTTTCTAGAACTGACACCAAAAAAAGATGTTCTTCTCATTCTAGGGGATTGAAATGCTAAAGTAGGGAGTCAAGAGATAAAAGGAACAACAGGGAAGTTTGGCCTTGGAGTTCAAAATGAAGCAGGGCAAAGGCTAATAGAGTGTTGTCAAGAGAACAAGATGGGCATCAACACAAGAGGTGACTCTACACATGGAAATCACCAGATGGGCAATACCAAAATCAGACTGATTATATTCTTTGCAGCCAAAGATGGAGAAGCTCTATACAGTCAACAAAAACAAGACCTGGAGCTGATTGTGGCTCTGATCATCAGATTCTCATAGCAAAATTCAAGCTTAAACTGAAGAGAGTAGGAAAAACCACTGGGCTACTCAGGTATACTCTAAACCAAATCCCTTAAGAATACGTAGTGGAAGTAAAGAACAGATTTAAGGAACTCGATTTGGTGGACAGGGTGCCTGAAGATCTTTGGATAGAGGCTCGTAACACTGTACAGGAAGCAGCAACAAAAACCATCCAAAAGAAAAGGAAATGCAAGAAAAAAAACTGGCTGTCCAACAAGGCCTTGCAAATAGCAGAGAAGAGAAGGGAAACAAAATGCAAGGGAGATAGCGAAAGTTACGGAAAATTGAATGCAGACTTCCAAATAATAGCAAGGACAGACAAGAGGGCCTTCTTAAACAAACAGTGCAAAGAAATGGAGGAAAATAATAGAAAGGGAAAAACCAGAGATCTGTTCAAGAAAATCAGAGCTATTAAAGGAACATTTTGTGCTAAGATGGACATGATAAAGGACAAAAATGGTAGGGACCTAACAGAAGCAGAAGACATCAAGAAGAGGTGGCAAGACTACACAGAAGAATTATACCAGAAAGATCTGGATGTCCCGGACAACCCAGATAGTGTTTTTGCTGACCTTGAGTCAGACATCCTGGAGAGTGAAGTCAAGTGGGCCTTAGAAAACATGGCTAACAACAAGGCTAGTGGAGGTGATGGCATTCCAGTTGAAATATTTAAAACCTTAAAAGGTGATGCTGTAAGGTGCTACACTCAATATGCCAGCAAGTTTGGAAAGCTCAGCAGTGGCCAGAGGATTGGAAAAGATCAGTCTTCATCCCAAGCCCAAAGAAAGGCAGTGCCAAAGAATGCTCCAACTACTGTACAATTGCACTCATTTCACATGCTACCAAGGTTATGCTCAAAATCCTCCAAGGGAGGCTTCAGCAGTATGTGGACAGAGAAATCCCAGAAGAACAAGCTGGGTTTTGACGGGGCACAGGAACTAGATACCAAATTGCTAGCATGTGCTGGATTATGGAGAAAGCCACAGAGTTCCAGAAACGCATCTACTTCTGCTTCATTACGCAAAAGACTTTGACTGTGTGGACCACAGCAAACTATGGCTTAAAGAAATGGGTGTGCATGATGACTTTATCTATCTCTTGGGAAATCTATATGTGGGACAGGAAGCAACAGTTAGAGCTAGATATGGAACAACAGATTGGTTCAAAATTGGGAAAGGAGTACAAGAAGGCTGTATACTGTCTCCCTGCTTATTTAGTTTATATGCAGAATGCATCATGCGAAAGGCTGGACTGGATGAATCCCAAGCTGGAATTAATTAAGATAACTCTAAGAAATATCAACAACCTCAGATTCACTCTGATGACAAAAAGGTAGTAGGAATTAAAAAACCTCTTAATGAGGGTGAAAAAGAAGATGAGCAAAAAATGGTCTGAAGTTCAACATAAAAAAAGGCAAGATCATGGTCACTGGTCCCATCACCTCCTGGCAAATAGAAAGGGAAGAGATGGATGCAGTGACATATATTCCTTTTTTGGGCTTTACTTCTGCTTCATTACGCAAAAGCCTTTGACTGTGTGGACCACAGAAAACTATGGCTTAAAGAAATGGGTGTGCATGATGACTTTATCTATCTCCTGAGAAATCTATATGTGGGACAGGAAGCAACAGTTAGAGCTGGATATCAAACAACAGATTGGTTCAAAATTGGGAAAGGAGTACAAGAAGGCTGTATACTGTCTCCCTGCTTATTTAACTTATATGCAGAATACATCATGCGAAAAGCTGGACTGGATGAATCCCAAGCTGGAATTAATTAAGATAACTCTAAGAAATATCAACAACCTCAGATATGCAGATGATATCACTCTGAGGTGCCAATACTTTGGCCATCTCATGAGAAGAGAAGACTCCCTGGAAAAGACTTTGATGTTGGGAAAGAATGAAGGCAAGAGGAGAAGGGGACGACCAAGGATGAGATGGTTGGACAGTGTAATCGAAGCAACAAACATGAATTTGACCGAACTCTGGGAAGCAGTGGAAGACAGTAGGGCCTGGCGTGCTCTGGTCCATGGGGTCACGAGGAGTCGGACATGACTTAATGACTAAACAACAACAACAATCAGTGGGGCACTAACAAGTCAGCAAAGAAGACCAAGACAGCAGGAAGTGTATATAAATTTATATCGTGCTCTGGTCCATGGGGTCAAGAGGAGTCAGACATGATTTAATGACTAAGCAACAACAATCAATGGGGCACTAACAACTCAGCAAAGAAGACCAAGACAGCAGAAAGTGTATATAAATTTATATTAACTAGGAAGCTGCTCTCTGGTTGTGGACACAAGGAGATCCTATAGGAAAGATTTTTCCTGTCTTCTTCACGAGGCAAAACTTCCAGAAGCTTCTAACAATGTGCAAATAAAATATTTTCTGTGGTTTGTATCCAATGTAATGTGGGTGGAGAAAGAACAAAAACATTCAGGTAATATTTGTAAAGTGCTAGAAGACCAACTAGTGCATTAGCGCAAGCAATATTTAGCACATGTCAGTCATAAGACTTTGGGAAAGGGCTTGGAAATGGAGTTGCACAAGCATTTCCATATGTGAAGTCTGATGGCTGCAGATCAGACTCCAGAAAATGAAGTTTCTGTAGGGAGCAGAACTGTTCTGGTAGAAGACATACTTCAACAACTTTGTACTTTATCCCAATAAAGATACTTTGATAGCCACTTCTGCCATAGTTTAATACTGTGTAGCTGCCACTGAAAAATTATTTCAGTTGACATACACATGGCTGGTTCAATGGATGGATTGCCCTTGTTCCAGCCTCAACGGTGCCCTAACAGTACTGCCACATTAAGTCACCCAATGCAGCTGAGAAAATCACTAAGAAAACCAAAGTCTATTCTGTAGAGAAGCTGGAGGGGAGCATCCTGCAAAGGGAAACAAAACTTTCTGTGTGACACCTCACCAGCCGTAACCTATCCTTAGCCCACCAAACTCAGACCTTGACATCTTGACTATGGACTTCTTTACGAACTGGAAAGCTCATACTTTTGCTTCCTCATCTAGCATTGAGGACCTCGAGCCAGTCTTACTGATTTAGTACTAGTCAGGTGGCAACAGTTAAGTGTCTGTTCCCTGATTGTCTGAATCAAGGCTGGTCGTGCTTGGAGTACCCATTCACATTCTTGGCACTGCAGCTGCCCACAGACCATTGCTGGTGGTTGTGAGTCTATAGCTAAGCATTTGTGCATACGCAAAGGTCTCCATGCAATGCGCATTAACTCTTGGAGGAAAGTAGAGAATTTTACCTGGGGATCAGATGTAATTAGCAGCACAAAACAGACACTAGGCCCCATTAAATTATTTTTTACTTTTAAGTAAGTAAATAAGTAAGAAAATATTAAGAACCAACTTTGTACTCTGATCTGCGGGTGGACTAATTTCTCTATAGTACCAGACACTGAATTGTAGTTAGTCATACTGGAACAGGGTTCAAGTGGGAAAGGTTCATACCTGAGCCCAACTGCCTTCCTCATTCTCTTTCTGGAATGGTGAGGACAGCCATTAGGGAAGCCAGTTAAAAACACAAAAGAAATGCAGCATGAGTCAAAAAGCAAACAGCACATAATTAATCTCAGTTTGAGGGAGAAACACAATGGCATCAAATTACAGTGAGGCTAATTGTGGGCAAAAGCAAGACTAATAAAAGTGACATCAGACACAAAGCACCCTGCAAAAACTTATTGTTGGCCGAACTAATCAATAAAAAACATGTGTTTTGGCCCCTAAAATAACCAACATCTGTTTATATCTCATCATAAAATCACAGATATTAGTTGATTGAATTTTTGAAGGGTAGAGGAGTTTGTATGACAATCAAAAGATGCATTCATTCAATGGTAATATTCTGACATTAGGGCAGACAGATACAAATCAAGGATGGGCATCCAGTGGCAGAGTCCAACCACAATGAGAACAGCATTCTGGGATAGGGTCCAAAAAAGCTTAGTGTGGGAAAATGTATGGGTTCAGTTGAGACTAAAAAAAAAAAAGAAGAAGAAGGAAAAAGGAAAAAGGAAAAACAATGGAAAGAGCTTGTGTGACTTTTTTGTTTTTAGGCATCTGGCACTACTGTAATTCCTTCCTGAGAGCAGAAATTGCTCTTTTTCCTCCTAAATATTAACAGTTTTGACAGTATTTCTATGATCTAGGACACAGTTTAAAATGCTCTGCATTCCTTAGGATCCTATGCTCACTTGCAGCTCCAGGTCATGTAGAGGAGTGATAATTAAATAAAAGGAAGGTTTCCTCTCTAGTTCATGATTGCATAAATACAGACACCATACTTCTGGGTTCATTTACAGGGTGCAACATATTGCACACCTATGTAATTTAGCTCCTGGTCACAAAACACGCTTAGTGTATTAGTCACTTTGTTACCAGTACATATTTTCACACTGGCTGGTTCCATTATTAATACATATAGTACTGTAAAGCATTACTTCCAGTCTAATATACTGAAATACTAACTAGGCATTGGGGTTTTTGGGCTACAAAATTCTCAATCTTGTTTGTTCCACCTGACAGACCCACACCAACAGACAGCTACATGGGGCTCCCCGAGAGACAAGGCAAAAGCAAAGTGGCTTATATACCACCCCATAGAGCTTAAAGCACTCGCTGGGCGGTTTACAAGTTATTATGCAAGCTACACATTTCAAGGCCTAGCATAGACGTAGTTCTGCCTTAGCTTCTTGTTCAGAAAGGAATCTCTCAGTTAGCAGTGGAGCAGTTTCGCTTCTGAACAGGAAGCTAGAACAGAGCTAGGCCTATGCTAAGCCTTTTCTTCAGGTGAGCCATATTCAGATGTTTGTAGGTGTGGGCCTATCAGGTAGAATTCCCAGAATGGAGAAGCATGAGATTTGCTGTCTGACTTTTTTTTAATGTCATGCCTAATCATCAGCTTTTAATAATTGTGTCAAGAAAGTAAAAGGAAATCTGGGATTTAGTTAGCAAAAACAGAATTCCAAAATGATGTTTAGACTGCAATCCCAAACATAATTGAATATGGTGGGACTTCTAAGTAAACATGCTTGAGATTGCACTGGGCAACTAAAAATGCATCAATTTCCCTAATCACATCTATTTCTTCATTTCATTTCATTTTTAAAATTCTCACATTAATATAACTTATCCATAGTCAACATCTACTAGATTTCAAATGAATAACTATTTTTTAAAATTCTCACATTAATATAACTTATTATATACAGTCAACATGTACTAGATTTCAAATGAATAACTATCTTCGTATACAGGACATTCCATATACAAGTTAGCATAATATGCAAATAAATGGTATAATATTACCTTTTCACATTTAGTAATAACTGTAAAGTATGCCATTTGATAATGAAGTGTTTAAGAAAGTCGCTATTAGAACTAACCGTTTTAGTTGGAGCGGCAAGAGTTTCCATCTCTTCATGGGTGACCCAAACATTGCCTGAGGGCTATTGTCAAGGCCCACAGAGAGGCAGGTAGAATCCGCATTAGGTAAGCAGTGTTAAAGAAGAAAGGCAGCAACACTGTAAGTTAACAGCATACACCATCACAATGAGCACAACCATGTCCTGGCCTCAGTTGAGTGACAGCTCGAAACAACTTTAGACAGATGTTTCCATCTTCCTTCACTTTGAACCGTTCTGAATACATATATTGTTCTCTGAATCTCAGTAAATAAGCATGAAGAAATAGTACTTTTAAGTCAATTTTCAAATATAAGTCTCCTTCTCCTCACACATTTGCCACTATCTATGTAATGCTCTCCTGAAAGAAGTTTGTCTGGCACCAAGTTTACTTTCTCATGGCAGGTTAAGACTTTCTTTTTCCTTTTGACTTTTTAAACCTTTGTTATTTTAATCCCTCTTACATGAAGGTTTGACTTCATTTTATGTCTAGCTCTTCGTTTTTAGCATCTCATTTTTGCTGTATTTTATCAGCTTGACCTTGAGTTGTATTTTTATATGACCTTGAGCTGTGCTTTATATTTGTTGTATATTTTTATCCTGTTGTTTTTGTTCTGTTCTGCTTCTATATGTTCATCTTGTGTCAACTTATACTGTTCTGTTTTCCAGTAACTGCGTGCTGCCTTGAGAACTTGTTTTGTATATGCCTAATAAAAACATAATAAATAAATCCCTTTTTAGTACCTGTCCAGATGGCTCTGATTTCAGCAGTCAGGTGTGCTGTTTCAGAGCTTTGAAATCTAAATGTGCAGGGCATTGTAGTCTGCACTGGCATCATAGCTGACATACTACCCTTTCAGGAAGCCCTGCAGCAAGCACCATGAAATACAAAGCACATGCAAGAGTCCTAAGGGTCTACAGTGAGCTAACTAGTTGGTACAGAAAAACTGTGCTCAGGATATGGATTCCTGCATTGTCATAATTCATCTTTTCTTCTTTCTCTTCCTTTCAGAGCAGCCAGCAATGGCGGCAATACTTTGCTATAAGCATGACAATATTCTTTAAGGTGCACAGAGAGAAAATATGCTTACTGAGATATGAATCCTGGATGCAGTAGTTGTGTGTCTGCTTGGGGGAATAAGTACCAACAGGCTTTGTTTGGGTTCTGGGATTTTTTTAAAAAAATACTTCCTGAAGAGAAAAGTGCAAAATTATTTAAGTCAGCACCCCTAGACTATGGAAATCATTAAAAAAGATAACTTAGGAAAACTCATAGGTTGTTCTTCCTAATGTTTCACCAGTCTCTGTGGCCGGCATCTTCAGAGGACAGCAACCTTTAGAGGACACCAGAGCACAGGTTGCTATCCTCTGAAGATGCCGGCCACAGAGACTGGCAAAACGTTAGGAAGAACAACCTTCAGAACACGGCCAAAGAGCCCGAAAAACCCACAACAACCATTAGATCCCGGCCATGAAAGCCTTCACGAAGAAATTTCTACATTGTTCTTAAATGATACGTTCCCTGGATTTAAATCATTAATAGTGAATAAAATTGATGTAATCAATTGGTGGCAGCTGAATGACACATCACGTGAGCTTTTGCTTGGTCAAACAACCAAGGGCCACATGAGAACCTGACACCCTCTTCCTATTGCCCTCTACTTTTCCTAGCATTATTGTCTTTTTCAGTGAGATTTGTCCTCTCATAGTACGTCCAAAGTACAACAGTCACAGTTTAGTAATTTTAGCTTTCAGTGGGAGTCCAAGCTTGATTTAATATAGAACCTATTGGTGTTTTTTCTAATGGGATCTGTAAGGCTCTCCTCCAACACCACATTTCAGGTGAGTCATTTTTTTCCTGTGAGCTTTCTTCATTGCCATCTTTCATATCTATACTTAGTCATTGCGAGTACAATAGTTCGGACGATCGTGGCCTCAGTCTCCAGTGATTTCTTCTCATTCCTACATCATCTCATCTGGAAGCCAGAGCATTTTCTAAGAGATACATTTCAAGGTGGCTCCATGACTCTCTGACTTTTACTCTGAGAGTTACTGCTGCTGATGGGAAACCACTCATTACAAATGCTAAGCCAAAAAAAAAGTGTTAAAGAAAAGTGATAATAATGTTTATGTTTATGAGTGAGAGAGGAAGAGAGAGAAGACAGTGAGAGAAAAGAGAAGTATGAGTATGCAGGTGTGCAGCAAACCTTATACCCTCTTGTTCTTTCATGGATGCTATTCATTTCCCAAACTCGAGTGGTCACAATGACCAGATAGGTGGGGTATAAAATAAAATAAAACAAAACAAAACAAACAAACAAACAAACAAACTGGATGACTCTGAGAGGTTGACTAAATGATTCAAGTGCCCACACAGTCACTCTCTTTGATCAAAAAGATACCGTTTATCTACCACAGCTGACAAAGATTCCATAAGCTGCTTTCTTATATTCCTCATTATTTCATACTATCAAATCATCGCCATCACAATACAATGACAACATGTGATCCCACTTCATTTCTGAAGCTAAGTAGGGCCATACAGGGATACCACAAGTCTCCAGGCAGGACTAGAAAGGAGTCCTGCCTGAAATATTTGGAAGTTGCTGCCAGTGAGAGTTGACAATACTGGGCTAAATGGATTAATTGTATAAAATTGATGAATCAACCCTTTCTTATGTGTGCATCACAGTTCATCAATCGTATTAAGGATAGAGGATGACTGCCTTCAAATTCCCGCTGGCTACCAATGACAATGTTTTTCTGTACAATGTTTGCTTACTAGTAATTTATTTAATGAAGGAGAATCAGTGAACAGATCAGTCAATATTTCAGAATAAGAAAGCATCAATGAGTCCATCTGAGAAGAGCTGAAGTTTCCCCCCATAGTGAACAATGAAAAACAAAACTAAATTTTTAATTCCTGCCTACTGACAATCTACTGCCCTAACTGTTCTCATAGCACATTTTTGTTTCTTTCCTGTCTGCCTGGTGAGAACAATTGCTGAAGATAAAACTTATTAAGCATGTTTATTCATTTACAGTACTTACATGACAGCATGACATAGTAAAATCTCTAAGTGGTGTACATTAATGCATATATAATAAAAGGTAAAAACAACATAGAAGTTCCAAAAATAGTTAAAAGTTAAAAATAAAGTGACAAAAATCATTACCAGCTTGGAAAGACCTACAGCAGTACAAAAATAATGCAAGTCCTACAAAAATTCACACAATTTCAGCAGGTGATTGAAACTGAACAGAAGCCCTATCCAAGTCTGTCTTAAAGCTTGTGGAGTCTAGACATATTGAGGAGACTGCACTGCCCCCATTCCTCAAGCATCTCTTTTATTATGGAAAGATGATTGACTAAGAGGGAGAGAGTGCTGTACTCTGCTAAGCTCTTTAGGTGAACTTGAAGACCAGTTCTGGTGGTCTGGCTCATGAGGACAGGCTGCACGGATACAGCCTTCTCTTCAAACAGCCAGGTTTCTGTGATTAAAGAGACAATCATGATGCTAGTACGCTCTCCTCAATGTATGTGGGCTCCACACTCTTTGAAGGACTACATAGAGTTATAGCCTCTGCTTCTTGGACTTTGTGTGGAGGGTATGGTAGAGAAAAAAAGGATCACCATTGAGAATCTCAATTTTTGTGACATTATACTGGATGCAGTAGTAACAGCAGGCAGCTCCTCTATTAAGGATGATAGGGGTCTGTACAGAAGGAAAAGATCTGTGAGAAGGATATATTCCAAGAGTGTCTGTTAGCTATGCTGGTTTAATGGAGCCTCCCATGTTCAAAAGCAGTAATTCTAGTTAATACTTCTTGCTGAATGTCAACAGCAGAGGAAGATTATTTCCCCTTCTTCACCACTCTCCTTCCCTGGAGGCACCTACTCACCTACTGAGAGAACCGTCCAGATTCAGGATAGATGGAACTTTTGGCCCAATTCAACACTTTGTTTCTTACATTCATATGAGCTAGATGAATCTGACTCACCGTTCTAGATGTTGGAGGAGCTGAGGGGCTTGTGAGGGACACCATCTCCTGAATTGCGAGTCGGAGCTTCAAGCGATGGAGAGGGTTGCTGATTCCAATTTCTCTTTGAATCTCAGTATCCGACAGTGCAGACATAATTGCACCACTTTTCACATTTGCACGACATGCAGCAACATACCATGCGGGCATTCCCAGCCATAACTGGAGAAGAGAAGCAGTGACAAAAATTAAGATTGGCAGTGACTTTGCCCACTGTTGAATTTGAGCTAAAACAAAGCTGATGTGAATTGTATATACCTGTTTCAAGTGATGACAAAGGTTTTGTTTTTGTTTTTTAAAGGGCACTCCTGCCACTGCCAGTCTGCAGAATCTGGTATTCAGGGGGCAGTGCTCCAGTGTGACACTTTTCATAGGAGCCTTGTGGTATTGCAGTCAAAACTCTGCTCACAATCTGAGCTCAATCCCCATAGACTCAGGTAGCCAGCTCAGGGTTGACTCAGCCTTCCATCCTTCTGAAGTCACTAAACTGAGTATTCAGCTCGCTGGGGGGGGGCACTGTGTAGCCTGTATAATTAAAATGCATACTGCCCAGAGAGAGCTTTAATCTCTCTTTAAGCTGTTTATATGGGGGCATATAAACAGCACACATTGCTTTTGCTTTGTTTCATGGCATTAACTACAGTGCCCTCCTTTGTATATATATTCAAAACAGTCCTTTTCTTATTGGCATCATAACCAACTGTGATTCTACTATGACATCACAACTGGAAGGATGAAAAGGAGTTATTTTTCAGACTAATATGATCCATAGGAACAAGTGAGGAAGTGCCACCAAGCAAATAAGGTTTCAGAAGTCCTTCAAAAACATTTTGAGGGCCTTCCAATGGCTGTTCTTCCTCAAAAACCATTATTAGACAACATTTTGCTTTGTGTTCATTTGTATACAAATTAGATGTCATGGAATGATTCAGATTAGATAACAGTATTGCAACAATCCTGGGGTTAGGTTGTTAAGTGGCTTGGGAACAAAACATATTTCTAATCAAGAAAGAAAAGGGTGGCTATGGAAATGAAGGCTGCTTCCATACACTGCCTTCTCCAAGTCATTCTTCAGTACTACAGAAATTCATAAGTTTATATAAAATACAAAGAATTAATAATTTAGGCTTTACATGATAACTTAAAAAAACCAAAATTAATTAAAATAACAAACAATTGTTTTTAAAATGAAATTAATTAAAATATTGATTTCACATCTATGAATACTGGTACTTTACTTTCTTTTTAAAATATACATTTCATACATTCAAATATGAGACCTTTGTTGCATGTTCACCATATTATTCAAGACGGATTCCTTCACTGAAAAGCATTTTTACAATTCCTAATGGCTCAAGACTCTCTTAATTTATTTGTTGTTATGCATCATCAAGTGAGAACAGACACAGAGTGACCCTAATAAGGCCTTCAAGGTAAATGATATATTTAAGGAGTGGTTTTGCCAGTTTTCCCCTAGTGAGCTTCCATGGCTTTGAGTTTCAGACGCAGGCCTTATCTGTTTGGACACCAAAAATGTGTTGGGGAGTTGTGCTTAATAAACCATGTTTCAAGCCTTTGAAGGATATGTGCAGGAAATCCATTTCAGCAATGGCAAGCCTGTAGATGTTTCCTTGAGTCAAAGCATAGCATTTTTAAGGAAGCTCTTCAGTGTAAAAAAAGGCAGTAATGATTTTTTATAAAGTGTTTGCATGTAAAAATAGTATGTTTTGTAGCCACTGTGCTCAAGAATGTGGATTTTGTTGACTTTGAAGCACACCTGTATCTTTACTATAACAATTTAGATTCAGATGCTACGGAATGATTGAAAAGTGTACCTGGTGGATTGATGTCTGTTTGAGAACCCCAGCAGGGACTTGTTAATTGCCAGCAAGAAGCCACTAAAAGTTGTACCGTTAATCTTCCACAGGCACAACAAAGCAACAGGATTTCAGTCTTTACAGACTGAAAGAAAAATTTGCTGCATCAGCCGGAGTCCTTAACTCTTATAAGAAAGGATGAGGGACTACTACTACTAATAGTAATAATAATAGCAGAAGTTTGGAGAATTTTTTACTTGGATCTCAGAATTCTGCAGTGCCCCTCCAACACTCAGAGAAAAGAGGAAAGAACACTTATACTTCTGTGATATCAAAGCAGCTGTGCTAGTGCCAGCCAAAATGATGATGACCTTCTTGAGAACAATGTTCACTGTGATATCGGAGCAGATCAGCTAATGTCAGGAGATGTAAAGAAGAGGAGAAGATAAAACTGAGGAAGAAGAAAGGGAAGGCACGACTTTAAAGAAATAAGCTGATACTGTTCATTTAGACATTGTAAACAACCGTTTCTCAGTTCTTGCAAGGGTTTAAGGCCATAAAGGGAACCTCCAGAGGAATAACTTTTAGGAATGCTGTGGAAGAAGAAATGATGTGACAAGATTTCAGGAAGATATGAGGTGGCAAAATTCAAAGACAAAATTGTAATGAACATAGTACTCCCTTTTGGTGTTCTGTCTGACAGAGGCAAGAGAAGGAAGAGTGGGAGTGAAAATGTAGCAGAAGCCACAAACCCAATCCTGTAACATCTATCACTATATGAGCCCACAAACCTAATTGCCAAAATCTAAAGAGATGTAAGTACATTAGAATGTGTAGCTGGACACAATTACAGCATTTTATTTAACTCTGAAGTTTGGATGACTTATTATGCAAGCAGATGTATTTCTCATTTTTCTACTACTTTAAGATGTCTTCTAGGGAAGTAGTCCTCAGTGTTATACAGTCACTTGTAACAACTGAGCAAACAAAACTGAATTGAATGTATTTTTCTTTTCTTCTAATGACATAAGAAGAAAATAGCAGCTTACTTCTCAACTCTCTTTCATCTTAAGTTAAAATGATGATTGCATTCTGAAAGGATAGTTCTGTGGAACTTGCTTAAGATTGTAAGATTGATTATTAAATGAAACCAAGTTTTGGTTGTACAGGTTAGTTCAGTAATTGGGATCCAGTCTCCCTCTCTTTGGAAATGAAGAACAAAGATATTAGGGAGGTGCCTTACAGGAAGAAAGTCCTGTATACTTACTCCTGTGATTCAGAGACAGGGTAGTGGCAGTTATTAATCTACAGGGAGAAGGTTTAGGCCCAAACCCCAAAAGTAAAGTGACTGGAATTTTTTATCCTGTGTATTCCCACATGTGCCAATCAAAATACAAGAATGGGGCATCAGTCTTAATAATGCCACCAGTAGTTTGGGTCAATGAGCACTATCTTTGGCTAGTTCTAAGAACATTTACATAGGAAGGCACATTCAATGCTTTGGTGGCACGATGCTTTTATGCATTGTATCAGTGATCACAGGCAACTACCTGTGACAAAATTCTTGTCCACATGTATGATAAAGTTCACTGGTATATAGAAATTACAGGTATTGGTACGGAAGGCTGGCATGCAAACCCACCTTTAATTTGCCCCAAACTGAACTGAATGGAATACAAGCCAAGTAAAAATTAGGGACCGCTATCAGAATAGATCACCATACTTCCCAACTCTTCATATTAATCTTAAATGAATTCATGTTCTCAGAACAGTTTAACCATCTTTTAATGAAAGTAGTTCTACAGCAGGGGGACAAGAGAACATGTCACTTTGTATTGCAAAGCCTTATAAAATATTCTGAGACTCTCTGTGAAATGTAGTAATTAGCATGACTTTTAATTTTCCTTCATGAAAACAAACACATTACATTGCTGGTAAAATGGTTTTTGATGCTGTATACTGTGATCTTTTTTGGAACTCTCCCACCTCTTCCATTTTGACTTCATGGTTAGAAAGGGTCGACACAGATTTATTAATGACAACTGTAACTCATTAACTATATCACAACACTGCTCTTCCTTCAGAACAAGCATAATATCTTGAACCAGTAAAACCACTTTGGGTTCTCAGGGACGTGGTGGCGCTGCGGGCTAAACCACAGAAGCCTGTGCTGCAGGGTCAGAAGACCAAGCAGTCGTAAGATCGAATCCACGTGACGGAGTGAGCTCCCGTCGCTTGTCCCAGCTCCTGCCAACCTAGCAGTTCGAAAGCATGTAAAAATGTGAGTAGATAAATAGGTACCACCACGGTGGGAAGGTAACAGCGTTCTGTGTCTAAGTTGCACTGGCCATGTGACCACAGAAGGTTGTCTTCAGACAAACGCTGGCTCTATGGCTTGGAAACGGGGATGAGCACCGCCCCCTAGAGTTGAACACGACTGGACAAAAGTTGTCAAGGGGAACCTTTACCTTTTACCTAAATGTGTTTCAGAAGACAACAGTCCCCCCCCCAAATAACCATACATTATTCAAATCTCTCTCACTGATACACTGGTTGAATTAGGTTCTAGAGAGGACTATCTTTTAGGGGTAATACTCTCATCCCTCACTGCTCATCCAAACTTTCCTTCCTGGATGCTTGAGTTTTGGGTGGGAACTTTCTCTGTCCAAGGTTTATCGATGGGAGATATTCCATCCTGTAATCTCTCTATTTCTCAGTTCCTTTTCTTTCTGCCCTCACTCGCTCTCTTTTTCTTCTCTCACATTCCTCTCTTTCTCCCCAGTACAAAGGCTTACATGGCAGCTTACTTCTCCACTCTCTTTCAGCTTCAGCATTGGGGAATTCCATCTCTACCCATTAATTGGTCCATGGGTCTTCTTTTACTATAATCACTCAGTCTTCTACAGTTCTCTATTCCTCTTTGCTTTCCTCTGTCTAGTATCCAGTTGCTTTGCTTCTATCTCTTTCCACTCTTCCCCCCTTTTCCTTACCTCCTCTCTTCTTTATATCTTCCCCTTTCCCCACGAGCTTTGCCCTCTTTGTTGGTTGTTCTCCCCCCCTTTTTTAAACCATTCCCAGGCTATCAGACTCTTTTAATAAAGTCAACATCATTTTCTCTCTTTTTTTCCTCCAACTGGGGACTGTCAGGGAGATGGAACACTGACAGGGAAAGCATCATCCCTGTCCCTTTCTCACATGTATCCATACTTTCAGAAAGTTTTCATAGCGCTTACCTCCAGCCATGCAACCACTGTAGGCCCATCCCACTGTGCGAAAGGTAGTCCTTTCCTCCGAGCTTCCTCCAGAAGTTCATGCCTAAAAGTACATCACAGACTATTAAAATGTGTGTTGGTACCTAGAAACACCAGACAGGATTATAATTACCAATGTACAATGAATTTTGGCATACCACAACAATGATATTGTACATTAATCTTCTTTACTCATCTGCCAATCTTGCTGAACCTCGGGGGGGGGGAATTATATTCTTTGTTGAGAATATTCATGTTCCTTGGCCAAATATGTTCTTCTTCTCCACTATTTCATTTTATCTTGCCATCCATTTATTCCCTCAACAAACAAAGTGACCTAAATTTAGTTTCAAACATTTCCTCCTTAAATTACAGAAGCTACAGTGGCTACATTTAAAAATGAATTGTTATAACAATCTGGAAAAGGATACAATTATTTCTCTCTTAAATAGCACGGGCCAGAATCCTACCGGTGTTTGCAAAATCTTTGAATAACTTTCCATAGCCAACTGCAACTAAAAGAGAAGGTATTTCAGTTATGCTGCCAGGCTGTTGGACCAGGCACATAACTGAGGCACACTCTGGTATCTCACCAATTACCTGCAGCCACGTATGCAGATTTTAAAAGAACCCCAACAGGATTCTGGAAAATGTGAGGTATTTCAGTTATGCTGCCAGGCTGTTGGACCAGGCACACAACTGAGGCACACTCTGATATCTCACCAATTACCTGCAGCCACTTATGCAGATCTTCAAGGATTCTGGAAAATGTATTCTACAATCATTAGGCAGAAAATAGCCAGGCTGTCCAAAAGAGGTATGGTGAGACAGATTTTGAAATCATCTTCCCAAAATGTTGAGTATGAGGTCTACTGCGTATTAGGCCTTTTCAGAAAACCTACTTAGACTTGATTCACATTGCTCAAGGGAAACACATGACAGTGTAGCATGTATGTGTAGAGAAGTGCCATCTACCTTCAGGGAGGTATTTGCATACACTATGATCCTCAAGAGTTTCAAATTCAACAACACTCTGAGCTTGCACTCCTGAGCTTTAACTAGGCCAGTGCTTCCCAACCTTTGACCACATGATCTTCCTGGACTACAACTCCCAGAAATCCTGCCCAGCAGAACTAGTGGTGAAAGCTTCTCAGAGTTTTAGTCCAAGAACATCTGGGGACTCAAGGTTGGGAGCCATTGAACTAGGCTATACTGTACATAATTCTGCCCTTCAGGTAGCTTGTTGTAAAGGTGAAAGTGGACTATAACACCCGGATCAAATAGTGTACTTGGACTTTTTGCTCATACTGTTTCAGAACATTCCTCTGAAATGAAATTGGCTATGTGCTTTCAAGTGCTTTATTTTATAACTCAGGATTAGTGATTTATACATGCAAACTATCTTTGAAAACACTTGATGAGATAGACATCATTTTCCATTACTATAAAAGATGAGGTTTTTCAAACCATGGTTTTCTTCAGCATGCAACTGAATTACAAAAAATAATATACAGTCACTCATAATCTTACTATTGTAAAACCAATTTTGAATTTCACCATATCAGTGACTATATGTTTACTGATAATGCAGCAGAGCTGAAGACCAAAGTTCAGTCTCTCGGTAATATTGTTTTCCAATATTTGTCTCCAGCCAAATTTACTATGCTGAATATATTATTGTACATATCTACAGCTTCTATGTTAAATTATATAAAAGAACATGGAAGCTACTGAAGCTTGAAAGACCTTCCTATTCCATTTCCTTCAAGATTTTACTAAGTAAAACACTAAGGTATGAATGTATTATTAGGTAGTGCCCTGAATTTTTCAAGTTCTCTTGAATGATGTATATTTAATGTTGAAAAATATGGCTCTTCCATTGTAGGCTGTGGAAATTTAAACTGGCAAGTTTATGGGTGGAAGATCACTTGAGCATTCTTCTTATGGGATTCTAAGCACTAATTTATATGACTCACCAAGAAAACAATTCACTTACAAGACAGCTCAACAAACACCCCCTCATATTTAAAGACACTGGCCTTGCACGCTAGCCCATAGCCACATAACTGTCAATGTCTACCAGCACATAAATCAGGGCTGCTAATTGCACGAGTACATGTTCATGGGGCTAAAACACATAGTAAAGACATTTAAATGTAGCAGCAGAATGCTTATATGTCACTTTAATGACTCTATACATGCCTGGCTATAAATATGTATTTCTTTAGAATTCCTTCTGCCCTGCATTGTGGCAAGCACTTAACTTTCATGACATTTTGGTACCTGTCAAAAGCTCATTCATTTATTCAGACCTTTGCTAATTTTCATACTGAGCAAAATAGATTGTTCTTAGTGGGACTGGAATTTGTTTCTAAACTAGTGGTTCAATTATTTTGTATAGTGTACTTAGATCTGGTAATTAAGGAATTACATAAATATACTAAATTAATTGGCAAAAATGTGGGCCTCAGCATGTTGGAGAAAGGCTAAACAAAAATAAGCTTAATGTGGAAATATACTTTGAATGTAGTAGCAAAATTTCAATTCTTTCTATCCAAGGCATTAAGTATCTGCTATTCTCAGTAAAGGAATAAAGAGTTAATTATGATGAACAGAAAACCTATTGAATACATTTTGTGAGTTAGAAATTATTTGGAATAAGTTGCTGAAAGAGTTGGTCCTGGACAACTCATTGTGTATAATTAGACTTGGCCTCTGAGTGATAGGTTCAATAAACAGGAAAAAAATTGAGTCTGTGCATAAACTGAGGAAAATCAGGTGGCAAATTTATTAGAAACATATGAAAATAGGGAAGAATAGATTTTAGTAGGTACAGTGAATATTGGTATGTCTGGAGTATACCATTGTGGTAGTCCAGGTGTTTAAAAAAGATGCTGAGTTTCATTTGCAGTGTATGTCACAGACTGGCAGTCATATTATGATAGTCTACTGCAACCTAGCACACATACCAATTGTGTTGAACTATGACTTCCAACCTCCCCTGCTAATAGGACAAGCTGGAGACGGCAAGGCTGCATTACAATGCTGTATTTGTTGGTACTTGATGGTTGAAACCCTGTTGCACAGTTAAAAAAAAGGCATAACTTTTTGAAGGTAATTGCTGTAAATCAAGAAATCTCCATAGATGTTATCTGTTGCATGCCTGGTTGCTCTTAAAACTTATATATTTTGTGTAACTGTGCAACAGATTTTAAATAATGTTTTAGCCCAATTAAAGTACAGTGGACCCTCGACTTACAGAATTAATCCATATTAGAATGGTGGCTGCAGGTTGAAAAGTCTGTAGGTCGAGGCTCCATTGACCTACAATGCATTGAAAACCGATTAACCCGTAACCAGCCGTTTTTTTCCCTGGTCTATAGGTCGATTCTCTGGCTAACTCAAACCTAAATTTTGCAGCCAGAGAAGTCTGTAACTCAAAACGTCTGTAAGTGGAGCCGTCTGTAAGTCGAGGGTCCATTGTAATGCAGTGAAGAACAGAATTGTGCAAATTCCATTAATGTGGAGTTTGTATCAAGAACTATCTGTTTTTCATGTATGTCTTCTCAGGTATACAGTATAATCTACAGTATAAAATATTCATTCAATTATATTAAATGGCAAAGTATGGATATTTTAAGAAGGATTAAATCACAAGGGCTAATGGCATGAGCCGGTTACAATCCAACACATAAGATTCTTCTTCATTGACTGCTGTGCTCTTACATTGTTGTTTTCTGTTCCAACAATGAACTTCCCATCTGAACAAATATGTTTAGGAATATTAAAAAAATTGCTTTCTCTAGCAATTTACTGACTACCTCTATTGTCAAGAATGTTTATCTAGATTACAACTGAAATACTATATTCCAAATTCAATGCTAATAGTCAAACTTACCCAAGTTAAATTGGGTAATGGCACATTTTAAAAATCTATTAAAAATTAAATCTAGATATGTTTTAAGTCACTATTGAAGTCTGATTAATCCAATTTGCATAATCCATCACCTTTGTTAATTTTTAATGCTTTTTTGGTGTGGCATCTCATGGTGCAGTGGTTAAACTGCTGTACTGCAGCCAAAACTGTGCTCACAACCCGGGGTTCAATCCCAGGTAACCAGCTCAGGGTTCACTCAGCCTTCCATCCTTCTGAAGTTGGTAAAATGAGTACAGTGGACCCTCTACTTATAGAATTCCATATTGGAATGGTGGCTGCAGATCGAAAAGTCTGTAGGTCGAGTCTCAATTGACCTACAATGCATTGAAAACCGATTAATCCATAACCGGCCATTTTTGTTCTGTTTTTGTTTCATTTTGGTTTTTTCTGGTCTGTAAATCGATTCTCCAGCTGCACATCGAACCTAAATTTTGTGGCCAGTGAAGTCTGTAACTCGAAAAGTCCATAAGTCGAGGATCCACTGTGCCCTGCTCACTAGGTGGGGGGGGGCAATGTGTAGCTTGAATAATTAACTTGTAAACTGTCCAGAGAATGTGTTTAGCACAACGGGGCAGTATATAAGCAACACACTTTTCTGTACCAAATAGTTTATAAATTTACATTTATCTCACATTTATTTTCTTGGATAACTTTTGGGGAAAATAAAAACATCACCAAAATGCTAATTGAAAGTAGATTTAAAAGTTTTCAGTCCTAGAAACCAGTTACATTCTAATATTCCTTTATTAAAAGTGCAACTTGTTTAAATAATGTTGTAATTGTTTGTTTAATGTGTACTTCAATGTAGTGAACATTATTGCTTTTTCTGAAAGCGTACTTTGCAGAAATGGAAACAGAGGTTGGAATACTGTATTGTCAATAGAAATAAGGCACGTCTTAGAATTATAATGGCAAATAAGTAATGTTTCAAATATACTGCTGCTGCAACCATTACCATGGTAATGAATAAACCAACCTGCACAATATATCGCTTTATAATCTTATAGTAAATTTCCTAGATAAAATTACAGACCCTTGCAGTTTTCAGGTACATTAAACAAGATTGATTCCATATATGATTTTAGCTATTACAGTAATATATTTTAACATGAAATCCAAAATTAATA